ACCGCACATCATCGTCACACTCAGCAAGTATAAAAAAGAAGCTCCAGACAATAAATTGTATTTCTAAATAAATCTTGGCTATAAGATTGGAGAAAAATTCTTATTGAAGGGCCATTAGCCTGGAAGATTGAAGTTAATGCTGGAAAAAAAAAACACAGAGGAGAAATCATTGTATAAGATATCAGCATTTACTAAAGGAATATTTACCATGTTTTTTTTGGGTTTTTTTAGGGGGTGAGGGGTGCAAGAGTAGACAGACCAGTAGGATGGAATTGACAACCAGAAACAGACCCGCCGAAGTCTGGGAGTATAACTGTCGGGCCAGGTGGTGCACGCCTGTAATCCCAGCACTCAGGAGGATCACCATGAGTTCAAGGCCAGCCTGAATTACACAGTGAGACCTGGTCTCAAAAAAATTTGGGAGTGTAATCTAGACACAGAAGTATTAAAAATCAGCGAGGGAAGTATGGATGATTTCAGATGTCCTGCTGAGGAAGAATGGCTCTCCACATGGGGGAACAAACCGAAACTCTACCTGCCTCACATCACAAAGCCTTTTTAGAATGCATACGATAAATGTATTTACATCATGACTAGATCACATAGAAATAAAGCAAACAAAAAGTCTTTCTATATGATAAAACATCATACACCAAATAAAAGGATGTCACAGATAAGGCAGAAATATTTGGAACTCAACTAAACAATTATGTCCAGAATTAAGTCCATCTCCCAGTTAATAAAGAAGCACACACACAAGTCAATAGAAAAATGAGCAAAGGCCAGGCGTGGTGAAGCACGCCTGTAATCCCAACACTTGGGAGGCTGAGGCAGGAGGATCATTGTAAGTTTGAGGCCAGCTAGGGTTACAGTAGTGAGTTCAATGCCAGGCTGAACTACAGAGTGAGACCCTGTCTCAAAGAAAGAAAGAAAGGAAGGAAGAAAGAAAGAAAGAAGGAAAAGGAACAAGGTATTTGAACTGGCGACTCGGAAAATTTAAGAAATAAAAATACAGGCTATATAAATAACATAACTTTTTAATACCAGTATGTGCCAGATAGCCCAGGTTCCTAGTGTGAATGTGTGGTGGGCTTTCCTGATTTTATCTGGCAGTCTCACTGATAAGATGTGGTACCTCACTAATACCACAAAATAAAAATCATAACAACAATAACATTGAACCCATCAACATAGCAAAGCTGATCAAGTCTAATCCTACTTGCTGATGGGCACGTAGATGAGCACAGCCCTATTAGAGAACATTCATGAAAGCTACTAAAATAGAAAATGGTCTTGGGCCTGGGCTGTAGCTCAGTGGCATCGCGTCTGCCTCGCAAGCGCAAGGTCCTGAGTTCGATCCCCGGTACCAGAAAATGTTCTTTACACCAACACCAAACAATTCCACCTCCCTAGAACCTAGTGAGAATCACTGTTGGTGCATAAAGAAAGTACACAGGGATGTTCATTGCGCACAGGAGAAGAAAAATAAATAAGGTACAGCCGGTCCTCCTGTCCCTCCGTAAGTCAGAGCTACACAGGGCTATCCTGTAATCATTTTGTCATAACCAATAAACAGAAAGCTTAAGCAATAATTAAAAAGTGAGTGAACCAGAGCCGGACAGTTTGCTATGTCTGAGGCAGATGGAACATTACACTCAAAGACTAAGGCAGACTTCAAATGGATGCTTAGGGTGGCATTTACACACAGCACTCAAAATCGTAGAATAATCTGCTTGCTAATATAGATGCTGGAACTGATTACATCATGCATGTGTGTTTTGGGGGTTGCGGTGAATGAAGGTGGTTGAGATGAAGGATGGACGGATGAATATTTCCACTGCTTTCTTCCATAAAAGAAGAAAAAGAAATAGGAGCACACATGATGAAATATGAAGCTCTTTAATACAGGTGATGGGTGTGGCGTTTTCTATATGAGTGATTAAGAGTCAGAATTTTACGGAGCTGGAGGGCCCTCCCAGCTTGGAGGGCTGCCTGGCTGGGGCCACCTTTGACTCAGGTGATGGATCTTGTGGCTGTCCTTGGGTCACTTTGGAAGTGCCCCACCTCTGCTACCTGGCTGGGACTGCGCTGAGCCCTCCCCTTGCCCCAGCAGCTGCTGTTAGGTAGGCAGATGTGAGCCAGGTGGGGAGGGAGCAGGGCCACCAGGACAGCGCACAGAGGCCTTCCCAGGGCAGCAGGCTGCCTGAGCTGAAGGAGGCAGAGGACGTTTGGAGGTCCCTTGTTTGTGCCTGACTTAGCTCAGCAGGCTTTGTGGAGGGCAGGGGCTGCCAAGCCAAAAGGGCATTTCAGACCTGTCCTGACCTGGCCCTCAGCTGGGCATTAAGTGCAGGATCCCTCTTCTTCTCCCTCCCCCCGCTCCTTCCTCCTCTCTCTCCCCAGGAGGGGCCAGGGCACTCTGGAGGTGACCAAGAAGAGCCACAGAGGAATCACTGGAGTCAGAGATGTCGCCACACAGCACCTCCAAGCTGGAAAGGCTCCTGATTAAGGCACCTTAAGCAAATTCCCATTGCTGTGCTGCCATCACCACCACCCATCTCCAGAAATTCCATCTTGCAAAACTGAAATTCTGTACCCACAAAGCAATGGTGGCTCCTTATTCCTGCCAGCCCCCAGTGGCATCCGTTCTACTTTCTGTCTCTACTAGTTTGACTATTCTAGGAACCCCAGACAAGAGGAGTCGTACAGTTTTTGTCTGTTTCGTGGCATAACGCCCTGAAGGTTCGTCCATCTTGGGGCTGGGGTCAGAATCTCCTTCCTTCTTAAGGCAGAAAAATGTCCCACTGTGTGGCTGCAGCACATTTTGTTTGTTATTCGTCATCTGTGAGTGGACCCTTGTGTCGCTTACCTGGCACAGTGTAGTTTGTATCAGTCTTTGGGGTCACAGAGCCAGACCCCCAGAACCTGAGGACAGAGAATGAGCAGGGCCACCCCCGCATCCCTGGGAGGAAACGAGGTAAAGCAGTCAAGAACAGCTTTCTAGCTGGCCCCATTGCTTCTACCCTTGCTCTCTGGTCCATTTCCCAGATGACAATGTTGAGAGCCATTTTCCAAAATCTCATGGCTCCCCAGTACCCACAGGAGAAAGCTCACATGGGCCCCCGAACCCTTTGTGCCAGCCCCATCTGGTGTCCACTCTCATCCCTTAGTCCTCCTTGCACCGACCAAATCCCGCTTCTTCCAAATCCCGAAGCACATCCCATGCAGGTGTGCATAATTCTCCTCACTGAAAACACTCTTCTGTGGTTGACTCCTACCTATCCTGCAGAGGCGAAGTCTGTGATTTGAACCATCACCTCACAGAAAACTCTTTATGAAATGGTTAATCGGGAAAGGTGGTTTACCATCTCACATCCAAAGAGGTGTGGGGCTGGGTGGGTTGAGGGATGGTTAATCCCGTGGCTCAGCCATGTCATTCGGGATCCAGAAAGCCTCCATCTTTCCTCTCCACCGTCCTCAGGAAGTTGGCTTGTCCTTTAGGCCCGGATCTCCGTCCTTTGGGCCTGGACCCTGCCCTCTAGGTAGGGTCCTGCTTGTGTCGCCTGCTAGGCTCAGAGAAAAGCTTCCCCGCATTCTCCTAGCAGATCTTTTGATTGGCTGGACTTATGTCACATGCCCAAGCCCCAGTGGTCCCACAGCCACCAAATGAGATCACACCACGGACTAGTGGAGCCAATCAAGGAGCAGCCTCTGGGTAGGATCAAAGTGAACAAAATCATGATCTTTTATCAAGGAGCGGGTAAGGAAGGACTGTCCTGTGCTCTCCTCCCATCACCAGTGTACAGCCAAAGCTTGGTACCTAGCAGCCATTTAGTAATTGTTTCTAAAATGATGCCACGAGCTCGCCAGGCAGGATGTGGCCTTCCTTACCCTTTCTAAGAGAGAGAGAGAGAGAGAGGGAAAGAGTGCGAGCGCCTCAGTTCTGGAAACTGTGAATGTTATTATGTGGGTTCCATGGTGGGTCAGACATAGTCTTTGCATGAGGGGATTATAGTGAGGATGACCCTCAGAACCATCCCATTTCCCAGTCTGCAATTCTCTGCCCACCAAAATGCTTGATGATGAAAAAAGAAATGCAGCCTATCACCCCACACCATTAAAAGTGAAGAAATGGCAAAGAAAGTGAGCTATTGCTTCTTATCTATTGTTAGTGGAGACCACGTAGCTGTTGGCATTCATATTGGCAAGGGTTTGGGAAAATAGGAACTTTCATTCACTGTTAGCATTGGTATGGGCCCAGAGAGGACACCGATGGCAGCTTCACCCACCACATCAGGAAACAAGAATCTCTTAAATATCCATGAAGGGGCTGACTACCAAGGTTACACAGAAAAACTCGGTGTTCTTAAAAAACTAAGTAGATCTACATGTATTGTAGTATGCTGTTGGCCTGCTGCTAAGTGAAAACAACAAGTTGCAAAACAGCATTTATATCAAGGTGCAATTTCTACTTTTTTCAATCTTTCCTGAGGTATAATGACAAATAAAAACTATGTATATTTCAGGCATCCAGTATGATTGACAGATCATCACTGTGAAGGAATCGCCATGATCAAGCTAATTCATCTCCTCACCTAGCTGCCATGCTGGCATGTGTGAGATCCCGTGAGATCTCTCTTCTGAATGTGTCAAGGGTACAGCCAGCAGTACTGACTCTGGTCACTATGCTGTGCATTAGAGCCTCAGAACTCATTCATGGCATAACCGGAACTTTCCACCCTTTGACCAAGAAGGTAGACTGTTTATACTGGTGTTGTACATATATGATTTAGACGCGCGTGACGTAAACCATCCGGAAAGATTTAACAAAATTTAAGTGACCACGTGTTTGTTACGTGATGAGAACGGGCGCAACAAACAGCCAGAGCTCCCTGATGGATGAAATGGAATTTAATTTCTGGCTTATGAGTTAAAAAGAGGTGCCAGTGCCTCTTTCCTTCTAGCGGAGACCCTGAGTTCCAGTTCCACCCTGAAGCTCTGCTATTTCGTGGATTTCCGGAGGGTCTGTAGACGGCTTCTCATGCGCATGTGCATTGGCTGGCCCATGTCACGTGGCTCTGTGGTTTGGCTCTGATTTGTGTCCTCCCGGGCGTGGGGGCGGAGTTTAGTCCCCAGCGTGGTGGTGTAAAGAGATGGGGGAACTTTTAACAGGTGGAGCCTAACGGGCGGTCATTACTGTAGCTCCGGCTGGGGATGCTGCCCTGGGAAGGGATGAAGGCAGTTCTTGTGGGACCCTGAGCTGGTTCTCTAGAGAGGGTTATTATGAAGAGAGACGGACTGACCCCTCCCCGCACTCTGGTTTTCCGTGTTGCCCTGTGCTCTGTCACACAGACACCTGCCCTTCTCTGATGTCTTCAGGGATCCCCCGAGGGCTCTGCCAAGGAGCTGATCAGAGTCCAGCATCCAACTCCTGGACCTTCATAGTGTGAACTATTTAGACCTCTTTCGTTTCTAAGTTACCCAGCCTCAGGGATTTCGCTATAGAGATGGAAAACAGACCAATATGTGTGGCCAGGTGACAAGGAAAGAGGGGTAGGGTTACCCAGGAGAGCAGCAGGTGGGTTGTGGTGACCGCATTATAGTGTCTTACTGTTGCTTCTGTAGGGTTTGAGTATCATACTTGGGCAAGTATTACTTTTATAAGAGTGCACTTGAATGGGATTGGGTAGATAATCCTCATGCTGGGTCTTTCTGGCCAGAGCAGGGACAGGCTAGTGGTTCTTGAGTGGAAATTGTCTCTGGGAAGATCTGTCCCTCCACTGTGATGGACCAGCCTTCTCTGGGCTTCAGTCTCCTGGACATTTTGGTCAGGGTATGTTCCTCAGTCCCCATAGGAAGGTAGAAGCCAGAACCTGGGCTTTGGTGACTCACGAACTTGCTGCTTCTCTGAGTATGGTAGGCAACTACAATCCCCCAGAGATGTCCCCTCCATGATCCTTGGAAACTGTGAATAATGTCATGTCATGTTACAAAACAAGAGGAGATTAAAGTTGCAGGTGGAATTAAGGCTGCTAATCTGCTGACCTTAAAATAAGATTATCTGGAATCATCTGGATTGTCTGTGAGCCCAGAGTAGTCACGATGGCCTTTCAATAGGGACAGGTATGGACGAGAGAGAACCAAAGATAGGACAGGGTGAGACTCAGCAGGCCATCCTGGCTGTGGAGGTGGTGGGAGGAGCCATATGCCAAGGAGTTGCAGGCAGCCTCTGGGAGGACAGAGAGAAGGAATTCCCAGAGCCCCAGAACACCCTGAGTTAGCCCTGCGAGAACTGTTTCAAACCTGTGACTGCCTTCAGAGTTCTAAAATAATGAATCTGTGATAATTTGTTACAACAGCAATAAGATATGATGGTGCTAAGCATCTTAGGAGCCTGCTTGGGCCGTTGGGAGAGTCTTCTGCCCCGCCGCCCTGGTTCTCTGGTTCTCTGGTTGTGGAGTCAGGGTGACCTGGGTTTGAATGTGGCCTCGCTACTCACCAGATACGTGATGAGCAAATCATCTCTGAGCCTCAGCGTCCTTGTCCTCAAGATGGGACTAATAAGGGTTAGGGTTCTGTGGGCACCAGATGACACACGCTCCTCTCCACTTCCAGCTCACCAGGGACAGGATGGCACCGGGTGGGGACAGGCCTCCCTTCACTTGTCTCTAGGAGGCCTGCCGCGAAGTGGTGAAGGCCCGTCTGAGGACTCCTCTTTGGGCTAATTTTTTTTTTAGGTAAGAATGTTAATTTTTAATGACAAATCATGATTTTAACATTGAGTACATAAAATTAACAGTAACAACATTCCAACACTTAAAATAAAAACTTTCAGAATTGTCTTGATCAATATGTAAAGCTTTAGTTCCTGGAAAAATAATGTTTATTTCAACAGTATTCTTCCCATATGCAAAATAGCTTCTCACAGTAGAGGATTTATAAATGAAACTTTATAAAGCCTCCTTGTGTACAGAAGAGATCTCCAACACCATATGAACTGCACCCTATTCAAAGTCTTCTATCAAAATCAAAATCAAAGCAAAAAGTCTTGTATCAAAATCAAACCACATTCGGGCTAGGGATTTATCTCAGTGGCACCGTGCCTGCCTTGCAAGTGCAAAGTCCTGAGTTCGATCCCCAGTACCAGAGTGGGAAAGAAAGAAAATCAAGCCACATTCTATTGAAGCTATCAAGGATAAATCCTAAAAATCTACAAATGGAGCTGAATATGGTGATGCAATGCCTGTAATCTCAGAATTCCAGGGAGGCTAAAGCAGAAGGATCACAAGTTTGAGCCCAGCCTGGGCAACTTAGTGACTCAGAGACCCTGTCTCAAAAATTAAAAACAAAAAGGGCTGGAAATGTAGCTCAGTACAAAGGCCCTGGGTTCAATCCCCTTCACTGCAAAAAGAAACAAAAAATCTACAAATGGAACTACTCTCACCCACTGATTTAATAGAGTGGTAAATCCTGACCTCGTGACAACACGAGATAGAAAGATTTGTAAATATACAACACATACACTACCATCATCACCCTTACACACCAATGCATCTGGGTCCTTTGAGGTGAGAAAATCAGATATCATCTAGGATGTGTTTATTTTCCTATATTACAACTGAAGTGAAGAAAGCAATGTATTTTGTGCAATGATTCAATAAGGGACAATCTTGGCTAGGTATTCATCTGACCATCTGAGAATTAGTATCCAGAATATATAAAGAACTCAAAAAATTGAACAAGAACAAGTACTCTGATCAATAAATGGGCAAATGATCTGAAAAGACAGTTCTCAAAAGAAAAGATTCAAATGGCCGATATGTACGCAAAAACATCTCTAGCCATCAGGGAAGCGCAAATCAAAATTTTACTGAGATTCAGCCTCACTCCAATTGCAGTGGCTATTATATAAATACAGCAGTACCTCAGATCCTGAGCGTAATTCCTTCCATGGCTCTGCAGAAGGTGGCTGCCACATTCATGTTCATGCAGGGAAGGTGGCTGCAGCTGTGTTCATCACCCGATGTGGAGTTTGTGACCAGAAGCAAAATCTTGGTGAACATTTCTGTCCAGGAATGGAATTGTTCATGAACAAAAGCATTCATGAACCAAGGTATTGACTGTAAACAAACAAACAAACCGAACACCAGTAATATTAAATGCTGACAGGGCGGGGGTGGGGGGAATGAACCTTCATACACTATGGGTGGGAATGTAACTTAGTACAGCCACTGTGGAAATCAGTATGGAAGCTCCTCCCAGAATGAAAACTAGAACAACTACATGCTCCATCTACACCACCCCTGGGTATATACCTGAAGGAAATGAAGTCAGTATACAAAAGAGATACCTGTGTTTATTGTGGTACTATTTACCATAGCCAAGTCATAACACCAGCCTAGGGGTCCACCAACGGATGAATGGATGAAGAAAATGCAGAGTACTATTCAGCCATAAAGAAGAGTGAAATCAGATCATCTGCAGGAAAACGGATGGGTCTGGAGGCCACCATGTTAAACAAAATAAGCCCGACACAGTTACGAGTGTCACACATTTTCTCTCACATGTGAAAATTGAAAAGAAAAGACCATCTGAAAGCAGAAAAGGAATTAACAGGGAAGGCAAACAGGACCAAGAAGAGGGAGAAGACAAGGGGAAGGTTGGGGTGTGGATACAGTCAAAGCACTATATATAATTCATTCATTGGTACAATTAATATATATTAAGGAGTATAATTTAAAACTATTTCTAGCAGTGAGTTCTGTTTGCGTGTGGCTCATGAGAAGACAGTACCATATCGCATCATTCCATAAAATGCATTAATGGTTCTGTAAGGCACTCTCGAAAGAACAGCTAGAAGTCTAAAGAGCGCTTCGGGTCCTACGAGTGCTTCGTGGATCTCTGCAACCTGGCCAGCCGGAGGGGTGGAGGGGCCAGAAGCTCCGTCCCTATCCTCCGCACTGCCAGGACGGCTCTGCCCACACCCTCCGGGGGAGAGCGACGCCAGTCTCCCATCGCTCCACCCTTTCCATACCCAGGAGCTCACTGGAGTCTGTGACACAACTCATGTACTGAATGCTTCTGGAGCCCACATGAAGTGGGTGGGATCTCTTGATAGAGAGATAGAGAGGGGTTTTAGCCAATAAAAGGGAAGACTGTTCCTCCCCAGGTCTGGGTCCTTCATGTTCCCTGCGGCCACGTGGTCCGGGAGGGCACTGTCTTTCCTTCCGTTCCCACCTCCTGAGTGGGAGAGACTGAGATGCGGGATTTTAGTGGGGGAAGCTTTCGGGTACGAATAGTTCCCGTTATTATTTCTGGGTAAGGAATGTTTCCAACTGCTTTCCCCTAAGTCTGGGGAGGCGGGCCAAGGAGCGGCCCTCGAGAGCAGGCCCAAGTGGTGTATGTCTGGCCAAAGAAAAATTGCTCATGGCTTTTATTTCACCAAACGTGGATCCAGACCAAAGCTTGACGAGAGCCGTTGCCATCTGCGTGGGAGCTGGTGATGAGGTCCCTGTTGTCCACAGACATCCTGGTTTTAGCACACCGGAGGCGCCCCCGACCTGCATATTGATATAAAGTGGACGTGTTCTGAAACATTCTCATTGCAGTCTTACGAGATGAGTTGTGGTGGGCTGAGAACACCCCCCATGGATGCCTTTCCTCAAAATCCATTTGCTTTAGGGCCAGGGATTTAGCTCAGGGTTTCCACCGCCTGCTTCACAAACACAAGGTCCTGAGTTCAATCCCTGGTACCATGAAAAAAAAAAAAATCCGTATGCCTCCAGTACGAACGAGGCATTTGCTTATCATTGAAACATGAGAAGTACCAGCATTTTGTTTTAAAGGAATAACTGTCGCAGATCCATCCGTGGCCGGCTCGCACCGCGGGTCTCGGGTCCCTCCTGCCCCAGGCACGACCTGTGGGGAGCCAGCCCACCCTCCAAGCTTTCCCCACCCATGCGACCCTAGACCTGCTGCTTTGTGCCCCTGACCCCTGAGAGACATGGAGTCGGTTTAACAGGTGGGCAGCCAGGGGATTCTCCCCTCTCGGAGGCAGAGGAACCCCCAGTGTGCGGCTCACCTGACTTGTATCCACCCAAATATGGGCGAAAGCAGCCAGTGACACGGGATTCACCTGCTCTCCAGTGTCCACTAGTCCAGGCTTAGGTAGACAGCATCACCTCGGCTGTCTAAATTTTCCTTAGAATCTTCACTATGCAGTCACCCCGAGGGCAGCCTTTCTCCCTGGGCTCACACAGCAGGCTGGTGAGCCTTCAGTTCTCCTTTGGTCACCCACAAAAAGTCACCAATTTATCTCTCCTACTTTGCCATTTTTCGCCTTCTAGTTTTTTCTTTTTAACATTTTTATTATTACATATTTGCAGTACATAATAGTTTTATCTCCTTGGTGTAAATAATCTTACGCCATCGCCTTGTGGTAATTGTATCATTTTATGAGATTTTTTTTCTCTCTCTCACAATCACCGTTATTGGGTGCAGCCCCTCATTTGGTGCCTAGAAGTACACAGCCTGTCCCCAGGGTGTGGAGGTGGGTGGTGACACCCACGAGGAATCTACTTGAGGTCCTTGTGGCTCAGGAGACATGAGGGGGGAGTAACTGGGTTCGATGTGATTTCGGATTATATGCTTGTTTCAAAATCTCAAACAAGGATTCTGAAACTTAGAGGTAAAAATCTTTCTATAATCCCAAGCCTCAGAAATAACTATCACTACTTGGTATATTATTTCCAGATTCATCTATGCAGTCACAAAAATTTACAAGGCTATATAAAAGTATCACTTAATCAGAAGTAGAATTTTGCTGTCTAGAGTTGTGCAACTTCTTTTCTCTACTTCATAATTAGTCCCAGTGGTCTTTCCACAGCAGTGCATGTAAATTTCTCATTCTTTTTAATGGATACCTACATTTCTATTCTTTAGCTATACTTTGATTTATTATTTTAACCCTCTATCAACCATCACTTGGGTTGTTTTAAATTTCTCTTCTTGCAAATGAATCATCCTACACAAGCCTGGGACTTCTGTAGTTGAAATTCTCTACTTCTGCAAAATCAACTTCTTAGCTTCCACACATGAATGAGAATGAGAACACGCAGCATGTCTGTCTCTCCATGCATGATATCTCTTAAAGATCCTGTGTGATGAGGGTACAGCAACAAGTGATTTGTGGCTTTGAATAAATAAGAGCCACAGAATTTCCTATAGAGGGATTGGAGCAGTTTATGTTTTCATCAGCTGCCTGAGTGTGCTGTACCCTTATCACACAGGATGTTATCAGTCTTTGCAAGATATTGCACGCAGACAGATGTATTGCATGTTTTCATTCACACATGGAAGATAAGAAGCTGATCTTGTAGAAGTAGGGACTAGAGTGGTTGGCAGAGTGAGGGAAGGGTGGAGGTGATGGAGGCATGGAGAGATGACAGTTACAAGGTTAGAGGGTACAGCTGAGTTGCAGGAATGATGTCTCGTGTTCTATATAGAACACTATAGCAACTACAGTTAGCAACAATCAATTGAACATTTCAAAATAGCGACTAGAGAGGATTTTGCTCATTCCTAACCAAATTTAAAAAGTTAGAGATGATAGCTGGGTCAGTGAATCTGATCATTACACCTTGTGTACATGTATTGAACACAATACTGTACTGTACCTTGTAGATATTACAATTGCTGTGTCAGTTAAGGATAATATATTTTTTAAAATTTAAAAACCTCCAAGTGGACAGTTTTATGTGATTGAATTATGGAGTTTTAAAGCATTTCTTTCACAGTTAGTGGAGTTAGTTTAAATATCTTTTGTTATGTTATTGGGTATTTTCATTTTTCTTTCTGTGAACTACCTAGTCATGTCTTTTGGGGCTATTCATCACCATAGTTTCAACTTTTCCTTTATGGTATATTGGAGTTCTTTGTTTATTAGGAATAATAATCCTTCACTTGTCATCTATTCTAAACATTGCTCCCGAGGTGTTTGTCATTTAGTTCTCTGTTTTATGGCCATCTGTTAATTACATAGTAGTTGCTGAGTGTTTGCCAAGTCCCAGGTACTGTGAAAATTACTATCAATTGCCTCAACCCATCCTTAACACAAATTACTGACACATATTGTTATTATCATCCCCATATAACAGGCGAAGAAATTGAGGCTCAGAAGTTTAATTTGCCTGGATAGCAGAAGGATTTGGAGATAGGTGTCACTGAACCTCTGTCACCCAACACCTTATCTCAGGTTGTTTTCAGTACCCTCAGAAGCAAACCTGCGCCAAGAATCCAAACACAGTCTATTTGGGAGGTGAATTCAGGAAGCAGTAAAGGGGTGGATAAATGAGATGGGACAGGAAGGAAACCATTACAGGGTTTGCACTGATGAGCAGGTCACCCATGTGAGCAGTTGCATCAGTCCATTTGGGGACCCCTGGAGCAAATGCCTTGCCGAGTGCCCCAGATGAGGGGCAAGAAGAGATGGCATTTATCATTGTGCTGCCTGAACAGCTCCAAGGAGGCCTTCACTCCAACACTTGTGACCTACCCTAGCACTTGACAAGCCCGTCCTTGTGGGTGGAGGAAAGCCCGGGGCAGACAGCCACAGATGTGAGTGGTACAAAGCTTCAAGTCAGGGTGGGTATGGGCAGCGTCTGTATAATAGCCAAGTTCGTCTGAAAGATAAAATTTAAAGAATAATAATGGGCATTTTTGATCAGTGCTTATACATTAAAGGAAAACTTTCTCCCAGTGCAACATTATATAGGCCCCTCCCGATTTTCCTGATTCCTCCTTCCTGCCACCTGAGGTCCATCAGCATTAGATGGTGGAAGCTCTTACTCTGGGAACGTTGCCTTTGGGGACCTGGAAGCCCGGCCTAAGCTGAGTTCTGGGGCCTTTGCTCGGAGGCCCCTCCCTCACTGTTTTGCAGGGTGCCCTGCTGGGAAGGGCGTGGCCATGGCGCTGTCCCCAAGACCAGCTGTGGTCAAAGTTGAGGGAGGTCAGCTGGCTCTGCAGGGCCTGGCCACTCCCTTAGCCCCCATTCCCGGCCCTGGATGCCTTCACCCTCTCCTTTTCGCTTCCTCCCTTCGAAGATTCCCCCTGAAAGGGAATCCACTTGGTCCATTTGTGACTTTGAAGGTGTTGAGAACCTGTTTGTGAAGAAACCTTTGATAAATGTCAGGGATGCACTCAGCTTTCCTGGAGTAGAGGGGGAGCTATCAGTGGGCCAAAGGGGCTCCCACGGCCCCTTCCTAATTCACTGGCTCAGGGGGATACAGAGCCGGAGTCCTGCCCTGTCCACGGGACCCCAGAGCGGGAGGGTGGCAGGAGCCCCTCCTCAGGATGCCCATCCAAATGCCCTCTCTCACCACGACCCTCTTCACCGCTTCCCTGTTTCTAAACTCTCCTAAATGCAATGTACCTGCCACTGTCCCTGTGCTCGTGATTGGTGTGTGTGTGTGTGTGTGTGTGCGTGCGAGTCTGACCATCTGCTGCACATCTGGCTGAGTCCCCAGTACCCAGACCCTGGCACGCGGCAGCCTAAATGGGCCCGGGGGTCTGGTCCCCACTTGGCCACTCGGCTGACAGGCATGGAGGGGACTCCTCCTGTGGAGGGTCAGGTCCCCCATGCCGACTCCGACAAGAAGAGCTGTGTGAGGCCAGAGCGCCCAAGTCACCCCAAGGTTGCAGTGCTGTACTGAGTGGGAACCAAGGGACCCTGAACCCTGGCTGTCAGCCCACGACTGACTTGTAATCAGGAAGGGGCACGCGCTGAGGAGGAAGCTGTCTTCTGCGGGGCACCCCCAGAGGTGACAGTGGCTGAGGGTGAGGTCAGGACCCCAAGCCTTGGGGGCATCTGAGTGGGCCCCACCCACAGCCCTGCTCTTCCATTGGCCCATCTCTCAATGGCCACAGGGGCGGGGGTGCCTCCTTCTCCCAAGCTGGAAAGGAACTGACAGAGTAAATAGGATAAGAATGTGGGTAAAGGAAACACACAGTTACTTGGAGTTATTTAGAGAGAAACAGGAGACCAAGTTTGAATCAGAGATTATTTGTAAGGAAAAAGAAGTGTATAGCTTTCATATCCATCCAGGAGCTTTTATTGAGCACCTACTATGCGCCTGGAACTGGGGATGTGGTCCTGGCCTTGATGAGAGACAGGCAGCCACAGTGGTGAGCATACGAGATTAGTATGGGTGTTGGCAAATGCGGGAGGAGCAGTAGGGAAGGACAGAGGACCGTGACAGGGGCTGGGGTGGCATTTAGGTGGTGAGGGCCAGGAAGGCCTCTCCCGGAGGCCTGTGTCACACCAGCGAATCACTTCTTCAGTATCATCCTTCAGAATAACTACGAGGGCTGTTTGTGTAGCATGCACAAGGCCTTGGGTTAGATCCCCAACACTGCAAAAACTAAAAAGTAAATGACAAAAACAAAACCAAACAATCATGACATACCCGTGAGGGACTCGGTGGGGTCCCGGGGAGAATCAGACAGTACTTGGTTTGGGGTCCCTCTTTTCCGTCCCTCACTGGCTGCGCCGTGACCCTCAGAGCCGCACTTCCCTTGCTTGTGAAACTGATAAGAAATGTACTTCGTAGAGCTGTGGCGAGATGGGAGGGCAGCGTAAGTCATATTCCTGGCTCGGTTTCCGGCACATAGTAGGTGTCTGATACGCGTAGCTGCTATTATCCACTTATTCCAAACAAGGGTGCAACTATTTCATCATGTTGAGAACCACCTTAGGTTAAACGAAAAACATGCCGTGCAGCTACACGATCCTATCTCTCCCCAACCTCTGCCCCATCCTCTGCCTCACTTAATGAACTTGAAAGGCAGCTTTCACTTCTGACAGAAGCAGGCTCCTGCTGGCCAGGAAAAGGAGCCAGTAAGAGCGCCGCAGGCTCACACCACCCTGGGAACAAACAGGGTCGGTGTGGGTTCTCCGTGGACCCCTGGCCACGCCCCGGCCAGGCTCTGTCTCCAAGGATGCCGGGACAGGACAGGACGCCGCAGCCAGACTGAATAAATTAGCGGCACACAAGAGCTAGTGACGTCCAGAAGGACATTTCTCGGTAGGTCTTGCCAAGATGTTCATTTCAAAGAAAGCTCTGGCTCCTTCGGGCGGCCTTTCCCGGCGGCCACGTGCCTCCCTCCGCCGCACGGAGTTGCACAATTGGTTTTCCAGGCAGAGGTGGGTCCCGTCCCCTCCCTGCTCTGCCTTGTGTAACACAGGGAGCTGCTCCCGTCCTGGAGCCTGGACCTAGACAGCGGACAGCAGGTGGCCTGTGTCTGCCGGAAAGTGTCAGAGGGGCCCCTGGCTCCAGGCCCCCAGAAGGCTGTCCCCGGGAAGCTGTGGTGTAGCAGGGGGCGGGAGCCTTCGCGTCCCAGTCCTTAGTTCAGGGTTGGACCCAGGGACCTTGGAATCAGTGGGAGACGAAGCGCAGGCAGGGCAGACAGGCACCTGCCACACCGCACCGGACTCCCCGAGTGTCGGGTGGGGAAACTGAGGCCCCTGGAGTTGGCCAGGTGGTGCACTGAGTCCTCTGGCTCCAGGGAGAGTGGTGGGGAGGGCCGGCCCGGAACATGGAGCAGCAGAAACCAGCAGACTCGGGGAGCCAGCTTTCCAGGCAATCGTGCTCTAGGTGGGGGCCGGCCGTGCGGAGGGGCTGGGCCCTCTGTGTGGCGCCTCCTTTCTCAGAGCCACCAAGAACGCTCTGCTGCAGTCTATCTGCATCTCCTCCACGTTCACACGCTGCCCCTTTCCCCCGGGGGGGGTGCTGGGGAGCAGAGTTGTGGGGCGATTAGGTCCTGCCGGCGAGCCCGGGAGGTGCGTTAGTCCTTCACAAGGAGCTGAAGACTGTGGCAAGGGCACGGTGAGACGGGCCTCACCAGGCCCCCAATGTGCTGGCGCCTCAGTGTCCGCCCGCAGAGCTGTGAGAGGTCATTTCGGCTGCTCAGGAGCCACCTCCTTCACGGTGTTTCATTTTAGCAGCCAGGATGGACGACACCAGAGCCCTCCTCCTTAGGCGGTCTCTGTATGTTTTCAATGCAACATCCTTAGGAAGTGGGGGCTGCCAGACTCCAGGGGCATCCCGTGAAGCCGGGCGAGGGGAGCTCCTGTTCCCTCCTGCCCAGGGTGGTTCCTCCCTTTTCTGCGCAGAGCAGGGGCTGGGGTCAGTCCTCCACCGAGTGCTGTCAAGGACCCTTCAAGGTCATGGAAGGCAGAGTGTTCTGAGAAAGGGAGTGCGTTCCCTGGTGGAAAAGGTGATTGTACTTAGCCATGTTTCCTGGCGGGAAGCTGGCAGGCAGGCAGGCAGGGAGGGCAGGAGCCCAGCCGGAGAGGTGGGAGAGCTGGGGCCAAGGCAGAGGTTCCCAGGGGAGCAGCCTGGCCCATTTTCTGCTGCAGAGCCCTCGCTGGTCGTAGGTGGGGCGGTCTTGTCCTCTGCCCATTCCCTTGTTGATTTCGCAAACACTGAGTGCTCCCGCCCAGTCCCAAGTGGCAGGGTGGCTGCACCCAAAGCTCTAAATATAAAGCCCTTGCCCTGGGGGGGCTCGGCCTGAGTGGGTGGGGAAGGAGATGCCAACAGGAAAACAGAAGCATGGATAATATGGCGGTCATGATTATCATCTCCTCCTGCTTCCTGGGCAAAATACAATCTGAAAATATCACCCCGATCCCATCTGTCCTCTTCCGTACAGCCAACGCTTCACTGGCTTCTCAGTGTCTCCAAGCTCCTCACCGGGTCACAAAGCCCTCTCTTGGGGTCCCCTCTCACCCCTTTCTGTTCTCCAGCCTCTCATGGTGGCCTTTCTTTGACGACAACACTGAGCACTCACCACAGGGTCTTTGCACCTGCTGCTGCTTCTGCTGCCTGGAAAAGTCCTTTTCCTAGAGCTTTGCTGGGCTCAGTCATCATTGCAGCCATTCATTCATTTATTCAACAGATGTGTACTGGACTTCCTGAGCACCTGGTATCAGCAGACCTGGGACAGATGCATGTGACTCGTGCCACCATCCACTGGTGGCTTCAGGCAGGTTTCTGCTTCAGTAGGGACCTCAGTTTGTTCATCTATAAAACAGGATGGAAGCTGCACCTGGTGGACCGATTTCCACCGGCAAGTGCTCCCCTCCGTGGCCCAGTGGGGAGCGTGTGACATCGGGAAAGGCTGCAGGCGGCCAGGGTGAAGCTCGAGCCGCTGACCCTAGGAAGAGGCAGCCTATCGTCGCCCAGCTCAGAGTCTGGGAACAGAGAGGAACGGGACAGGAAGTGGAATCTGGGTCACCAGCCCCCCAAGGTCCCGCTCTGGCTCTGCCTCTGTGTGAGCCAGGAAGGTCACCAGGCCAGCGCCAGTCAGTGTCCCTCTCTGGGACGAGGGGGGTGGTGATGTGGGCCGGAGACCTGGCCAGCTTCCCAAAACAGGCCCTGCTGTCTTCCCAGGAGAACGGGACTGGGGTGGAACCGGCGGAAGTCGGTCTGAGGCTGAGATGCAGTGGGAACAATGACGTGCTTTTGGCAGGCAGAAATTTTCCTCTCAGGCGCATTACATGGATGCTTCTTCCTCCACCTCCTGCAGGGAATTCCAGAATCTGAAAGAATCTTCCTGGAACTTCCTGGTTTCGATCTCAAGGGCCAGTTCGGCAACCCCTATGACCCACCACCCAACAAAAAGCAACATGGTTGAATTCCTCTGATACCTTAGCCTGAGACAACAATAGTGTTTCAGGGTGTGGAATCTTTTCCCATATGAGCTTGGTCCTCTCACAGAGAAGTCTTCTCCTTGCTTTTAAGTTTACGAAACTAATTCATGCTAAGGTGTGACCAGCTCCCTTTTGGTTTTGGCCAGGCTGAGCATTTGTCTGAATGGGGAGTACAGGAATTCTGTTGTATTCCTCACGATTACTCATTGAGCATGGGGCCTGGAGCTAGGTCATGTCCTGTGCATAATAACACAGACGACAGCAATCTCAATAATAAAAAACGATGGCTACCAATGGCAGAGCGTTTTCCAATGCTCCCTACCCTGCTAAGTGCTTTAAGACATTGGTCCATTCATTCTTCACTCTTTGTGGTAGGTACCGTTCTGACACCCATTATGTGGAGGAGGAAATCAAGGCTCGCAGAAGTCGACCCAGAATCTAACAGGGGTGGTGTCAGTACTCAAGGCAAGGCGATCTGATTTCAGACTGCTCCCCACGTCCGGCAGGCTGAGAGTGTGAACCAAGAGTCCTTAGGCTCTCCCTAAAATCTGCTTTCACCCCCATACGTGTCTCTGTGGCGGGATTTCAGTCGTGTTTGTGGGTTTCCCTGAGTCAGTGGGCGTGGCTTCCTCCAGGGCACCCCCAGTTCCCCCAGTGACTCAGTGCATTTCTCCCCACCTTTCTTTTTGCTTCCATTGGACTGCTGACAACTTCTGGAGCCCCTGGGGCACCCAGCTTCGTGGTGGGTCCCAAAAAGCCTTGGGGAAACCCAGCTGTTCTGGCAGAGGGAGCCCCATGATGGTTGTGTGCTAAGCCTCATTTTTCAGGGAGTCCCCCATTTTCCCTTTGCCCCAAGGCCTGGCCTTTTCCTTGGGATCCCAACCCAGGGTGTCCAGTCCTGTCCTCCCCAGTTTTGTGTCCCTTCCCATGATACAGGGGGAAGAGATGCAACGCCCAAAGCTGTGAGACGTCCAAAACTTGTGTTCGTGTTCTCTAAAATCAAAGAATGAATTCTAGGAGCAACAGAGATTAAGAGTAGGAAAATTTTATTGAAAGAAAGCTTCTATCTAAGAAAGACAGAAAGGGGACCGAAAAGTGGGTTTCCCAGGACCCTGTTTCCCAGAGGGTTTTGATGGAGCAAAGCCATGAGGTGAGGTGGGTTCAGGGTGGGACAAAACTATAAGAACCAATGGAAAGTTACAAGGTGGGCATGAGGTGGGGCAAAACCATGACCAACCAATAAGGTTACAAGTACAGTCACCCAAGTAATATCGATTAAATGGCGATCAAATGGGAAAATGACTCTCATACAAGGAATTTTCCATTTAGGATATCAATTACTGCTGTCTATCTCTAAGGGAAGTAGTAGCTCTTTTCTTTTTTATAATGCTAACCAGTGGATGTGCCTTAATTGCCCTCCATGTTGGCTCCTCACCGTGTTGGCTCCTTGAGGCCTGGCTCCTTGAGGGAGGCCCTGTCTAACTACCTAAAAGATAACATAATTAGCTCACCTATCTACAACCAGGGAGGCTCCAGGCCATGTGTCCCAGCTTGGTTACAGCAGGTCTTGAGAAAGAACCCTGCTGTCCCCAGCCCTCTCTGGGCCCTGTGCTGTCCTAGGAGAGGAGCTGCTTATGAAAACCCCGCTGAGAAGCGGTAGCAGGGCGCTTGTGCTGAAGAGGCTGCCAGACTAAAGCCACAGCCGCCCAGCCCATCTCCATGCCCAGCCCGAGTCGCCTTCCGGAAATCTCCCCTGCTCAGCCAGTCCTGGGGCAACTGGCCTCCCCATGGTGCCCTCCTGCTTTGGCTACTGGCTTAGGGAGACCCCGTCTCCTCTGGGCTTAGGGCCGGGCTGCTGGGGAACGGCAGGGAGAGATGGGGCCGAGTTGGGACCCGGCTTTGGGTGAAGGTGGCGCTGGAGTCTGCGAGTCCATCCTGTAGTCTCCCTGTCTTCCGGGCAGAACCGGGGCTGCTCCCCCTGAAGTGCCCAAACCCTCTTCCCAGCTTGTGTCATTCAGGTAGCTTTGTGCTGCCCGGGCCCTCACAGGCAGCCCCAAGGCAGTGTGACCCTCAAGACCAGTCCTCCACCATGAGTCCCAAACTTGGCTTTCTCCAGGGGAAGCTGGTCTGAGGTTAGATTCAGTCCCAAGGTGGAGCAATA